GGTGGCCGCCGACGGGCCTCCGGGGGGGGCCGCTCAGCGCGTCTCCCAGGCAGCCCCCTCCCCGCCGGGGAGACATTGAGGACGGCGGACGGGGGAGGGGGGCCGGCCGCTCTCCCCGGGCGGCCCCCGCGAGGACGCAGGGCGGAGAGGCCGCTACAGTTCCCTGTCAGGAGCCGCGCCGCGGGGGCCGGCGCGCGAGGAGGCCGAGGTCACGCCTGGAGGTCCGCGGTGACGGGCAGCCAGCAGGTGCAGGCCCCGATGGGGCCCAGCTCATCACCGCGGGAGGACGAGGACACCAGGCACCGGAGGAGGCTGCGCGGCGGCCGCGGCGGCACCTGCCGCCAGCCTGCCCACCCCTACCGGCCGCCGACACTCGAGGAACCGCCCCCTCCACCCGCGGCCGCTGGCGGGCTGCAGCGCGCATGCGCGCGAGGCCCCACCTCCCCTCCCGCTCCGGAGTTGCTGCGCATGCCCACTCTCCCCTACCCTCGACAGCCCGCCCTCCAGCAGCCCATCGGCCCCAAAGCCCTCCTCTCTCCTCGCGCTAGAGCTGGCGTGGCCGACCGCGCAAAGCGTCAGCCCCGCAGTGAGGCGGAGCAAAGCGTGCATACGTCACTAGCACCACTGCCTGGCCTTGCTGCTGATTGGATGCTCTAAGGGAACCACCCCCACGCCTTCCCGGCAGGGTGCCTACTGCGCCCTAGTTCCCAGACCCTAGACTCCTGGCTGGGGCGTCGGGCCCCGGGGCGACGAGGGCTTGAAACTGCGGTACAGCTTAATGGAGTGAGAGCGCTCTGAGCTTGGCTTTCAATGAAATACTTTTAATAAAGAATTTATACATTTTTTAGGCGTAAATGTTTTGACTTTATAGTTTTGTTAATTTGAGGTGTTGGGTTTTTTTTCACCTGGTCAGGTCACCTGGGTACTTAACTGCATGGAGCTAAAAGTGGAGCTTCCATATGACCCAGTAAGCCCACTCCTAGGTATCTACCTAAAAGACACAAAAACACTGATTCAAAAGGACACCTGCACCTTTATGTATTTTGCTGCTCTATTTACAATAGGGAAAATGTGGAATCAACTAAAATGCCCAAAAGTAGATGACTGGATTAAAAAGATGGAGTACATATATACAGTGGAATATTACTCAATGATCAAAAAAGATAAACACATGCCATTTGCAGCAACATGGATGGTGCTGGAAGGGATCATGCTTAGTGAAATAAGCCAGAAAGAAAGAAAAATACCGGATGGCTTCACTCATAGCAGGAGCATAAGGGGGGAAGGGGAGAGAGGAGTCAATTTTAAAAAGCAAAAACAAAAAACAACAGCAAACATATACCAGAGATATTTTAGGAGGCGGTGGGGAGAGGGAAATGGGATGGAAAATGGGGTGGGAAAGGTGGATGGGACCATGGTAATGGCACACAGGTGAATTGGTGGTGTAAATCCATGGATATTACAATTGAGATAGGAAAAAGCACAAAATGAAGAATGATGTTTAAAAAAAAAACAGGAATTAACCTGCTTTCTCATCTTTCCAGTCCTTTCTGAAGTAGGAACCTGGGCCCCTGTGACTTGGGGATACCACGTCCTGGCTCTGGGCAGGCATCCTAATCCACAGTGATAGCCCAGGTCTAGCTCTTTTTGGTTGTTGCAATATTCTTTTTATCTGAATTGTGATTAAACTGTCCCCCCTTGGCTAGCTGCTTTCCTTCATGTCCAGCGTTATCCTGCAGAGCTGTCGAAAATCCAACTACGGCAAACAAAACCTTTAACTTGAAAAGTTAAAATTGTTTTGGGCAATAAATAAATATGCCCTAGCCACTCTACTCCACTCTCCACATATGTAGTTCCATAGTTTTCCACCCCCTTCGCCATTTGAAGAGTTTATGCTATACCCAAATCTGGCAAAGCAGAACAACTGAATCCTGTAGATGGTATCCTTCGTCACCACTTTAAAAATGGTATAGCTGTAGAGATAATGAATAGTTACAGATTTGTATGAAAATTAATTTGTAGATACATAGTTTACATAGAATTGACTTACTGTCACAACATAGAAATGGGAAATTTTTGCATCATTAATAGATATTGATAAGAACTTACAACTTAGAATTAAGACTGTTACTTAAGACTAAAGAACATCAGACTTAAAAGAGGCTTTAACATTTTTCTAATTCACCTTATATTGAAGATAGGAAACTAGATTCTGGAGTCAAGTGACAAAAGTTGACCTCACTTCAGAAAGCAATTTCTGCATTTTAATTCTTTCTAGCAAGTACACAATCTTTATTAACTCTATTAATTCCGTAACTTTTAGGTCCTAGATGGAGAGGTGCAGGTCACCTAATGGGAGTGTAAGAGACTTAATATTTGTTGAGTGGAATTTGACAGTATCCCCACAGTCAGTGAATGGCTCATAGCAAACTCTGAGGAGCAGCAGGTTAAACTCTCCCCTCTAGAACTTTTACTTATTTTACATGGTATCAATTAGTGTTCATATTATTACATGTTATTATTTAAAATAGTAACATACAGTGCATAGTACCTTGCATTTAATCAATAATTGCTGAATGAATAATTGAATAAGCCTCATAGAAAAGTCAGCATTTTCCTTGTTTCACATAAATCTTTTTAAATGGAATCCAAGTGTTAATTTCAGGAAATGAGTAAGACATAATAATGAAGACTTTAATCAATACTGTGCTTTCATAACACAACAACTTA